CCGCCGCTGCCGTGCAATTTTCTTCATCGTGCTATCTATTTGATCCAGAGGAATGATTGACGGCCGAATTTAGATCAATTTTAGCCAAGTATTGGGATTTCCGTGTAATCTCAAATTTTCTCTAGGACTACAGTATTTATCGTGAAGAAATAATGCTTCATTATTTATTTAAAAAATTACTAAAGATACAAAAGACACCTTTTTTTATTCATAATATAAGAATGTTTAAATAGGAATTAATAAACGGAAAGTGTATTATCCATCTCTCATTCACCATGAGATTACTAATAATCTCTTCATTTATTATGGAAGAACGTTTGTACGTTAAATGCACCAGTAATATTATCTATTCAAAATACTGTATATAATTCTGTGTATCTTGGATTACGTACGGCAAAGCGCCGAGAAATGCACACGCCGAGCACAAAGTAAATTTATGCCTGTGCATGCAGTATGCGTTATCTAAATTATAAACAGTGACATATACTATAATTAACGTGTATTCAAATTTCTATTACCAAAGTCGACGAGTGCTTCATGGACGCTTCGAAAATGTTACTCAGATTAAAGCTGTATAATTAATCGGCGCGATGATATCGAGGTAGTCCATAGTTGAAGCTGGGTGAGTGTATCTAATGTTTAAGGTTGTGCTTCTTGATGAGCAAGGGGTTCACGCGATCCCAATGAATATGCAAAAGTCTTTCTCAAACCATATCTAGCTACACAGGCTGCCAGTCTATGTTTCATGCATTCAGATGCCCTTCTTACATTTCTAAAAGGCGAATGGTGAGCGGACTTGAACAATGTCGTCTAATGTTACCTTCATTAGATGCCGTTTAAAAACCCGGTCCACATTTCTCGTGAAATTCCCACCGCGACGTGGTATGCAAATCCCACTCAATTCGCACGAACACGGGGAAACTCTTAAAGCCTTTTATAGTATGCCTTCTCTAAGACTGAATTCGTGGTCTGAAAGTCGGAGTGCCACTATATTCTCAAGTGTAGGTATTACGAGACGACTTTTCAAGCGGGTTATATACATATACGTGTGGCTGAAGATTTTTAACCCCTTTCTAAGAGGTTACGACACGCGCAGACTGATTTATATTTACGGAGTAGCGAATATCGCGGCACGCCACGAATACTGTGAAATCTGACATACGTTTTGCATGTTCCCCCGTGAGCACAAAGTTCTCGTTTATTTAATACGATAAACGGTGCGCGTAGAACCAAGCATTGCATACTTTCGTTACTCTCACAAGAGCAATTTGGTATTGTCGTTGAGAAATGGTAGAAAAGTTTCGTGTTTCTGTTGACTTATTATTACACAAGTGGAAACAGTTTCTTGGTAATAATAAACACGTGCGACATGCCTCAATATTAAGAACTTCTACTCTAATACTCGTCTCCTATTATATCTGACGTCGAATGCAGCAACGAATTTTTCCAAAATTGTATCGTGTCCCCTCGTAAAATTATTAGGTGTTGGAATTAATTCGTAGCGTTTTTTAATGAAAGAATGTTATTTATTTCACATGAGCATTAAAAAATACATTAATGAAAGTACTTCCCATCACTTGTAAAACGCTACGAATTAATTCCAACACCTAATACAATTTTTTTTATACAAATTACTTTGCCTTACTAGAACTTGCTGAACATTCCTGCAACAACCTTATTAATCATGATATCTCTCACAATACATGATAAGAAAAGGATCTTGCGTTTAATCCTTTCTTGCAAACTTGTTTATTATTTCTATCAAAACTCTTCGTGTGTTTAATTATATTTGATTTTATAATAAGACTATTTTATTTTTGTTAAATGTCTTTATGAAGTAAAATCTTTAATTATCAGCAGATTATAAATAATCATTAGGTTAATGTCTTTTTAGAAAAAAAAAGACATTTCATGCTTTTATTCCAAAGCTTTTTATGTTAAACTTTTATGTTTAAGATGGCAGTATGTGATAATGGCAGAGTCATACTCGTAGTCAGCAAGTCTCTGACAACCCTCTTCGTGAAGCACTTTATATCGTACAGGCCCATTATATTATCAGCCACGTGTTATAAGTTATAGCAATAAGAGCTTCCTATGGCTGGATAGTCTACTTTATGTTTACGACCCCTTGTAAAAATTTTCTATTAAAACGACGAATGCCGTTCGCAACCGTGAAATAGGCAGTGTGTAATACTGCAGGATGTATACAATGCTACATTATCTATTTTTTTCCCACTATATGGAACTTTTCCTCTGTTACGATGGCATGAAAAACTGCGCCTTGAACGTTGTTGTAATCGCGCACATAAATTGAAAATTATTCCTCGATCGTTTATTCACAAAACTAATTTTAAAACACGGGCTTGTTCAAGACTATCGTTCAAATAATATAACTATAGTCGATTCTATCAAAAATAAATGGTGCAAAAATTGTTAGGACAGTAAAATGTCCTAAAAGTATTCTGCGATAATTAAATATTTATTAAATAACAAGTAATTTAAAATACATAAGTAAGATGTACAACTTTGTAAATTTAATAATTTACAGTTTAATAACTGTATGGTTCCTTTAATTAAGTAAAATGAATTAAGAAAAAATATATATGCTTATTATTTTTATATTTATATTTATAAATATATAGTTATATTATGGAATTTTATCAAATATGTTTTAATATTCCTGTTTACTTTTCTGTTGTTCATTGATTAATGAAATTTGTTGCGCAGAATCCATATCCAAATCGGATAAAGAGAATCACAGGATACGAATGTCAACATAACATAATAATGTTAACATAATTGATATAAAGCATCACTTCACGCATCATATAAACTGCTTCAGTGCCGCTTAGTTAAGAATCGGGGTTATGAGAAATATCGGTCAATAAAATGAAATTACGAAGATTGATAGGAAAAGATCATTCTTAATGTTCCTTTCGTTTTGCTCAGAAAGAAGCACTCGACTATGCTTGCGGGTTCTTCGTTAACTGGGCTCGCACCGCGAAAGGTTTCCGATTCATTTACAGTTTGACAAGTCGCCCACATTCTCAACGCACTTACGCGCGAACGAAGGAGGATGCGAAGAGCCGACAAAACAAAACACCGTAAAGTGCTCTTGTGTGTAGAGGATGCGACCTGTTAGCTACTATTGAAGCAAGTGAGAAAAGTGGCTGTGAGTGGTGCACGGCGATGCATAAGGGCGCGTTTCCCAAGTACGGTTTATCCCTCGCCCGGCTTTGCGACGCATTGAGATTTATTAACGTGACGCCCGACACCGCAGGATGTGTGCCCATAAATTTCACGGTTGCAAATTTCTGGGAATTCACGCCGATATGCTCGTGGTTATGAACCGTCTCGTTTAAACCCTCACTCCATTCCTCCCTCGCCCGATTTGGAATTATGCCTGGATAAAGCTCGTCATTCTGCAACGCGGTTCCCTCTATTTACAACATTTGAGTATTACGATGATTACCGAATCATTTTTAAAAACGTGTGCACGAAAGCGTTGTTTATCAAATATGTATTATAAATTTATGACGTATATATTACAACCATTATTGTACTTTTACAAAATCGATTTGGCGTGGCTTGTGTGTGTGTTTGCCACATATACAGAATTTAATTTACTTCCATCTCATTCAATTTTCATATAATATTTACCGAGCAAATTCCCTGACCAATTCTATCGGATACAGCCATCGGTAAACGGCCGTATTTATTTTCTTTTATTGAAACGCGGAATCGTGCGCGCTTCATGAGATTGTTTTTGCTATATTCACATTTATATCACGTTTGAAAGTCCACAATTATTACGTATCATTAATCGTGCAAATATAATCGATGAGCTATCTTCGCGTGCCGACAATGACAATGGATTAGCATTAATTCTGTTCTTCGAATACGTGACCGAAAACGTAACACAACCATTCTATTTCGGATACCAGACTTAAACTGAAATTTCATAGTCCAAGGAACAGTGAGTGATCTTAAGACATCACCGTTCGGTTCTCCCTCGGAGCATCAATCAGCGGTCCCTGCAATCAAGGGAGAGCAACGGCGAGCGAGGACGTCTCCATGGGAATTTCGAGAGGCATCCACCACTCAATTATCTTGAGCCACCATACACATTCAAGATCTTATCGATCTACAGAGGTCTCTATTTGAACGAAGGTCAACGAGAAAATTCTACGGAAATCTAAAATTGCTTTCTACCGCGCTGATAACGAATATAAAATGTTCATATTGATGATAAGTTTTCACCAATTATATCAGCAAAATTAGAAATCGAATTTAAACATAATAAAATCGCTTCAAATAGTTGGTAATTAAATAATCGAAACATATAGAATGTATTACGTATAATATATAATGTTATCAATCTTTGTATCTATCAAATATAAGTTCCAAAACTACTTTCGTTATTGGGAATGTTATCAAAAACCATTATCTCCTTTACGTATAAGAATTGACAATGCATATTAATACAGCCCATATAGACAAACCTGTCAGTACCAAAGCCAGAATTATCTGCATTGAATATCAGCAAATGTTGAGTATGATGCAATTCGATTTCGTTCGGCCCTGAATGATTCCGAGCAACGGCCGTGAATGCCTAATGAGTCGTTGTTGTTCGACATTGGCGTACATACTATCGGAGCACCACGTAATGGCATCATTGTTATTCCACGCAACAATTTTCATGTTCTATTTACCTCGCCATTTGGCATTCTCACGCAAATCTTAAGATTCTCTCTGACGCGCAGACAAACGTATTAAAAGCAGAATTTAGTACGCCTCTCTTGTACATGGTGATTGCTTCGAACGTAGAATTGATTTCAATATGTTTTAAAAATCTATCTCGAATTATAAAAGAAATATTTCCTACACGCACAATAAAGTCTATAAGGAATCTCTCTAACGTTCAGTTTTTTAATACTTGTTTGTAAAACTTATTATATGCTCCGATCATTGTCTTATAAATTGTCAATCGCTTGTTATAGATGCTGCAGTGATGGACAGCGAGGGCACGTTGGGCCGCGGCCATGCAAATGGGGGCCGTGGGCTGCGCCGTCAGCGGTCCCTGGAATGGAGAGAACGGCGCGGTTATGGAGCTGGTGGCCAATCCAGCAGTGATGATGAAGATAACACACGTCACGCTGTGGGGCCCGTGTCAAGTTCATCCGTTACAAGAGGCGCTCGTAGTCCCGGTCAGGTCTTTGCCTCCATTTTGGCGCAACAATATGGCAGTAAGTGACATCCTTCAATGTGGCATTCTTTGCTGTAAATTTAGTTCTTTCTCCAAAAATCTTAAGAGCATCTTGATTGCATTTGAAAAAAAGATACTTAAATAACTTTATTATTTGCATTTAAAGATATTTCTTTGTTCATTCTTCAATTCAGTTAATTTTAAATTTATTTTGCATTTTTTAATATAAAGTAGTTTAGATATTCTAACGAATAAACTGGCAAGAAAACAAACTTGCTGATATGCGTTACATTTATATATATATTCGATACATGTCGTGAATCTGCGTTACGATTCCATGTTTGTTATATTCACGGAACGATACTCGTGTATATTTGCAGTCGTCCGAATCTATACCGAAAAAACGTGATTCTGCCAGCAATCACTGTCTCGTTGTTTATTTTTTCATCGATATCTACTTTTGATTTACAGTTGATCCTGTTTTCATGGACGAATCCAATGACAATATAATATTATAATATTTGTTCAATATAATGATTTTTCGATCGAGAGATGCAATTTTAGTGCACGCTCCATAACTTGTTCTTCTAATAAAGTATCTTCATTTAATGCTTAACAATATTTATACAATCATTAAATTGTATGATTAAGTTCATAAGTTAATTTGATGAGATATAATATATATAGACTGTAGGTTTTTATTCAATACTAACAATAATTTAAAATATTATCTTGTTGTCGATATAAAAATATCATTCGCTGGATAATAGAAAAACCCTTTAGTAAAATAATAACTTCCCTGTGTAATCTCAATATTTCAATAAATACTTGTTCCGATAAGCATAACAAACTGATATAACAATATTTATTTTCTTTCTCCGATTGTAAGTAACTTCAGTTGTATTATTCTCCATCAAACTATACTCAATTTTCGAATTAAAAAAGCAATAACACAAGAAAAATCTCTAGATTTAATAAAAGACGCATACCTCAATAAGAACGCGAAAAGTTAATATCAGATTTTGCACGTGAATGAATGCAACGTATAAATGACAAGGAACGTTATCAACTATCGTTTAATTAAGTCCGATTGCGTATCGTGACTTTCGCAACTGCTTTAATTGCGGCGCGTCGGAGCAACTAAAGTTGCTTCTTTTTCTCTATTTGATCTGGTATACCAATAACCAAGTTTTACGTGCCTCGTTCATCATATTCCATCAAACACCCAGGAGCTCGCCCATTCAGTCCGCTTCCCTTAATCTCGCCTCGGCTTTCCACCAAACGCGTAGATTAAAGGATTTACGAAATTAGTTTTACTTCCTCGCGTCGTCTACAAGCACTGCCGGATATTACGTTCGAAGACCAAAATCAAGATTGCCGCGCGCCGGCAACCTCCTTCTAATATAATACCTAATATAATGGGTGTGAGCACTTTGAAAAGTAAATGAAGCCTCACGAATAATAATTTTCACGGACGCGTGCATTTTATGTATATACAGAGCAACGTGAATTACATCTCGAAGCTGGCATCTCGTATCCTTGATTGTGTCAATATAAATCTACTTCACACGCATAAAAAATACGTTCTAGCACTAACGACGATCCAGTGAACTAGAAAGAATAATGCAATAAGTTAGGATAAGTTGTCTCATATGTTATTCCGTTATCTGTCCCCCTAATATCTACTTCATCATCTCCCTCGTCGCTTCTATATTCCCACGTTTCATCGGTTCGTCTTGAGGTCGAACAAAGTAGGGGACGTTGCGCGCATCGACGATAGGGACGAACTCAATTAATAGCGATAGTCCGACTTATACTATATTGCTTGGTTGCGGTATCCAGCGAAAAAGAGAGAGGGAGAGCGAGAGAAAGAAAGAGAGGGAGAGTCCAGTAGTCCACCTCATGTCTGTCTGCATTTGTTCCAATTCACTTGCTGCCGATTACCGCGCTGCCTCTCCGCGCCGATCCCACGTCGTCGTCCTACCCCATTTTCATCCCTATTCTCCCATTTCCTCTGCCCCGTATCTGCGCCGACCCCTTCTCTCGAGACCCCTTCTCATCTACCACTCGACTCGGTGGATACAGCACAGTGTCACGTAACCGCACTCGAAATGTATCGAAAGAGGCGATGTACCGACAACGTAATGACTCGCCTTTACTAGCCCGCAGCTTCTCCTGCTTGTTCCATTTCGTTTCCGCCTGTACCATCCTCTCATCCGCCTATTTGATACGCACTTTATTGTGAATCAATATTATGCAGTTTCTGCGCGTTTCCCGCGCTGATACAATCCAACGCGCTCCAACGTTTTCCACCTTTGGAAGAATGCTTGCGTAGTTGTATTATTTCGAAATCTCGTCATTTATTAATATATCTTTTGTCTGCTGGCAATATTCATTGTAATTAATAATGGAAGAACGGTCAAGGATTTTATTCGTATTATCGTTGTTTGCACAACTTGACGCTGCACGATAGATATTAAAATTTTAATCGTTTCTTTGATAGTCTCTATCGTTAATAATAAATCGCAGAAAAACCCCGATAATTACGACAAGTCGCTTCACGCGCGAAAAATCAATAAGGTATCGCATTAAAATAATAAATTGATAGTTCTGATATTTTCCAAATCACACTCACATTTCATTCTCCTTGGATATTCCCTAACAAGGATATATATGTCACGTCATTATCATCTCTACGGTATAATGGAAAGAGATCTCCTCTTTCCCATGCCGTCTTAGCTCGGATCAAAATACCTATTATAGCTCTTCGTCAGAAATGGAGGAAAGTACAGTCTCTTTATTAATGATATCCGATGTGTCACGTTACAAGAGAGCCGTAGCGTGTCGATATGGATGGCAGCTCTTAATCTCCGTCCGCATAGTCATCAATATATTGATGTCCAGCCGTGGGGTCCTGTCTCCAGGCTAGCCTGGACCAAGCCGGCCTAGACATTATATTGCCAGCTCATTACACCAGCAACGGTTCATATCACGCTTTACTACCTTCCGGAAAATGTTGTCCTCCGAAATGGCAATGTGTGCAGAAATCTCGCGTATACGATGACATCGTATAACGGCGCTACGTGCATTATCCCCAAGAGATTATATAAATTGGTAATTTGGTACGGCGAAATAAATACAATGACAGTCTACGGGATTATTACGCGAGTACACGCCTATCTGTTTATCGGGCCGTTTCATTCGCGTTAATCAAATATACGTTTATATATACGTTATTCAATATATGGATATTGATACACATTCATACGTGTCTATTGTTCATATTTTGAATCGCCTCTTCTCCCTCTTCCCCTCTCCTCCCGTGTCGATAAATTTTGAAATCGATCAAAAGCAACGCATGCATTACTATCGTTTATGAACCGACGCAAGCATAAATCTCGAGGTTGCAATCATGTAAAATCACATCATCGATTTATATTTGTATCAAATATTTACAGATCACTGTACCACCACATCGTTACGTTCTGCGGATAGCGACTGGTCGGAGAAGTGTCACGACTGAAATGAATAAAACAAATTCAAAGATACATATCATAGCAAAGTGTGTTCTTAGTATTAATGGGGGCGGTAACGAGAACTAAAAGCCGACTGCTTTCTCAGCTAAGACTTGAGATCTTCTAACCGCGCTTGAGCTCTCCATCTGGCCTCCGAGCATTTTCAAGTTACTACATACCACGGACTCTTAGCTACCCGATGTATTCTCAAGGATTTCAGAAGATGAGGTTAAGCCATGGATAAATTTTTAATGGTCAGATGGAAGTTCCAGCTTCGCGAAGTAATCGTATGGTACACGCGAGATATCGGATAGAAGGATTAGTTTAGAATTCAAAATAACCAAGTCATTATAGCTTGAAGAAGACGAAATTTCGTAATTTTTTTGTACCTAACAAACGAAAAGTGATATTACATTTGCGTTACATGATAAAATGTATTAGCAAATTTTGAACATTTAAGTTCGGAAAGTATTTTCTCAGGTATTATGAATGAAAAACAAATTGAAATGGAATTGATTTGATAGTACTGCTAATTTCCTCCGAGTTGCTATCTTTGTGCGAATGTTATTAGGAGTTTTAGGTTACGAACAAAGATTATATAATGGAATCCTTATTCGAGTGTAATGGCATATATGTGGGAGTTGGAAACTCTAAGACGCTAACGTACGGGATTAGATATCTGGAGTTCTCGTAGCGGGTCCTGGAAAATGGGTTAAAGCAACAGTCATTAGAAGGTAATGCGAAAGTTTCGTTGAGAAAGAAAGCAACGGTCTACCGTTTCCACTTATTCCATCACGTCAGAAACTTATACACTAGCGGGCGTCGTAGCTATCAGAAGGAATGAATAATTTAAAGATGTCGGATCGCATGATCGGAATTCACATGTCTGGGAATCGTTTTGAACGTCAAATTACGAAGGGGTGGGAGGGCTCTCTCTTCGAGCGATCGCTTGAATAATTACGTTACAGACAGTCAATCCATTTAAATCACTCTATTGCCGACAAATGGTTCATTAAAATGCAGCAGATCGAATTCCTGTCGCGCCAATTGCGCAACGTAGCGCGCGGGAATATTCTGATAAATTCTAATAAATCTTGTCTCGATGAACCTACTGCCGACGGTTGAGAAGGGTCGCTAACGCGTTTGTAGACAAAGTAAATTTGCATTAACAAAATTACTTTGCATCGCAAAGTATATTTGATATAAGTGCAATTATTAATACTCACAATTTTATTTATAAGACTTTATATATCTCCGTTATAAAATCGTTATAAAATTTGTTTTACCAATCGTTATTTAATTTATTTGAAACTAGAAAATGGAATCCTATGAAATATTTGTACAAAGATATATCTTATATATTGAATTTCTATTTATAAAGTAGAACAGTTTAAAATTCCAGATTATTTGTGTACCTATATAATATCCAAATTTAAAATCATTAAGATCATTAAGATTTAAAAGTATTGCTAAAATATATAATATGTATTTATCTTTTCAAAATCTTTGTTTATTATATATTAAT